ATGCAAACTCCGCAATTAGAAAGTCAATTAAAGTACGCAGTGTCTAGATGTCCGCCAGGCGGACATGATTTTRGAAAAAACTAAATGTCCGTCAATCGATTTTTAACAAAAATCAATACTAAACGTTAGATCTAGTTAAAACTTTGTTCAGAATCTTAAAATCTTTCTTTTGAACGTGTTTACGAAGCTTCATTAGCGCCTAAGTGACACTTAGAAATAAAACAATTGACGGACAAAAATTCGAGAAAAACTATACGTCCGTCAATCGATTTTTTTTTTAAATTGTCAATACTAAATGCTAGATCTAGTTAAAACTTTGTTGATAATCTTAAAGTCTTTCTTTTGAACGTGTTTACGAAGCTTCATCACCGCCAAAGTGACACTTAGAATTAAAACAATTGACGGACAAAATTTCGAGAAACACTACGTGTCCGTCAATCCATTTTTCAAAGAAATACTTACTTAGAGACCGGGTCCAGTCGACTACAAGCGTTAAAACYTTCTTTAGAATGTTGAAACCTCTCAGTTGAGCCTGTTCTGACAAAAATTCACACCTTTGCAGAAGCTCCGCATACTAGCAATCGCGACACGCTTCGAGCGAATCTCCATCACTAACACTTTTGACGGACAGACTTTTGAGAAAAACTATGTGTCCGTCAATCGATTTCTTTAAACAATTACATCACATTWGAGACTTTAAAGTCTAATCGAATTGGAGCGACAAAACTCAAACATTTCTCAACTTGTTTTATTTTTAATTCAGATTATGCAACTTGACAGTCAATAAGTTGATAGCGTGACACTTAGCTGAAAACGTGACATACACTTATTGTTTACAGAGTGATTAATACTACCATTATATCTTCTGAAAATTGTCACGTTTTACTGAGAGTTCATTTTATCAATAAAGACCATTATTGTTGTTATTATGACGATTATTATYATTAATTAATTATGATTATTATTACCAATTAAGAAAAAGTTTAAAAATATGCATAGGAAAGTGTCAATTTAGCATGAATGCTCTTCTTCGTTTGTCTACATGTTCCTTCTAACTAAACACAGTTTTATATTTTTCTATTATGACAATGTTTTAGATGCCTTAATGCCTTCACACATTTAATGACTGATTCTGACAAATTAGCAACAATTTAAATTTATAAACAACCAAACAACAGACCAATATACATAATGTACAATACAATAGTCTGATTTTATACATTTGAATACCTATTCTAGAASAAATAAGTKGATCTTTGGATAATTTCACTGAATAATGTGGATGCAGTGAAATTAACCTGTGAATTGCATGTTATATTTTGTAATGCGGCCTAGTACACACTACTTGCATCGTTCTTTCTTGTGTCTATATGACTATGACTCATTTTCCACAGGTTTATGGCTTCACTCTAAGGAAGAAGCAATGTACATGTAGGCAAAATTATGATATAAAATGGAAATGGTTTTTATCTGATACCACTTTCACTTTCCTTCTATTGATTTTATATGATTGCCAATATCAAGGAAACATTCAGAACYGTCATAATGAAGAACTATCAGAAATAAGTAATTGTGCAAAATTTCGAAGATATAGATTAAATACTAASGAAGYTATGGAGAAATGAAAATACAAGGATTTGTATGAAATTCTTTACTGAGTCCTTGGTGGCCTCGTTTTGGTGTTTTTGTGCATCTTCCAACCCTTATAACTTCCAGAGGATTTAATTTTTTTCTTTGAATCTTTCAGAGCTTATCTTTAGCTTTGATATCTATCAACTGTGTTTTCTTTTGTCAACATTATGAATTTAACAATAATATGCTAATTAGTGTCGGCCATTGTGAAAGTCGTGTATACTTTGGAATCAACAAATCAAAGAATCAAACAACATCCTTTAGATATATGGTTCATATATATTTGCTTTTACAGATCGTGCAGAACCAGTTTCGTGCTTTAGGTTTGGAATTAAGTGTTGTGCAGCTGAAGTGGAACCATAACAGACAACGTTCACAAATAATGCTGCTCTGCCTATTTCTTATGGATTTAGAGCACAGTGTGCACTGGAATGCAACTTCTTTTTTCTTCTCAAGTACAGATAATATTCTCAACCAGGTCTCATTTCTGAAATATTTCTGAACCCGGTTAATATCAATATTTTGTTCATCTCGAACTGTGTCTGGGACTAAGTGAACATTGTTTTCAATGTCATTATCATCCAAAAGTCTCTTCCCAGCTAAGGCTTCAGAAGTAGCCAGTGTACTGTTGGTCAAGCACTCCAAGATACTCTTGTCTTTGTCRATTGGTTTGAGGTTTTTGAATGGTAATACTTTCAAACTTTCTGTTTTTCTTTTTTTTGTTCTTGGAAGACCTATGACAGTAACCTCTGCCCCTTTTGGACGTCCTCGCTTTTTCATCTTTGGTGGCATTTTTATGCTCTTCAGATTATAATTACCGGTATCATGCATTTCTTTATGCTCCTTATCACTCTCTTTTTCAGAAGATAACAATTCTGTGTTTTTGGATGTATCAACATTGTCACCACAATCTTCTTCTTTAAAAGCCATTTCTTTGATTTGTTTTCCCTCTTCAGCATCTTTGTCATCTTTGTCATCTTTGTCATCTATATGTTCTTTGTTTTGCAGCTCCATGTCACAAGTCACTTCATCAGAATCTATGGGCTCTGTGTTTACACTATTATCAGACTCTTYATGTGCCGATACAGAAACTTCCTTTCCTTCCTGCCAGAGTTGAAGGATTTTMTCCAGTACATTTACCCTGGAGTGAAATGTTTTCATCCCAACTTCACTTGCTCGTGATGCTAGTATCTGAGTAAGTCTGCTGGCCTTATTGAATTTCTGAGCTTGTGAAAGAACTCTACGTTTCAGAGTCTTTTCAGTTTTTTGGACATTACAAGAGCTCATAATATCATTCTCAATGTCTTCATCATTTTCAGCAAATCTAATGTTATGCACTGTTTGGTAATAGTCAATACTCCAYCGTTCTGCCATTATTGACCTATCAAAAAGTGGTATGTGTTCCTCTGTTCTAACTTTGAAGATGTGCTTGCATGGTAGCCCCATTCTCTTCATAAATAAACAAGTACAATTGGTAGCAGTTGCAGTGGTTGTGTCAATACGCGTCTTAAATTCAAACTCATTTCCTGGCTTTTTTGTATAGCTGACTATCAGTTTGGATTGCTCCACCTGATTTTTKACATATTCAAATGCATAAGGAGTCAAATAGTTGGAAAATTCTTTGAGACTTGAGTCTACACCTTGTACAGATTTTCGTGCAAATGACATCAAATAGTGATGGTTTCTCTCACTTCTTAATGACTTTAACACAACAAAGAATTCATTGAAAAATTGGAGGAGACTTGCATACTTTGAACACACACTTTTGATCTTAGAAAAGATTGACTCAATGCGATTGTTTGTAGTTTCTCCTAGATTATAAGTCTCATCTTTATAGCAGGAGACCCACTGTTCTTTGATCGGTATCCAATTTGCTTTCATGTAGTCAATGAAGCTGTTGAGTTTTGTAGCATTCAGCATCTTGAGATATTTTTCATACTGCTGGGGAGATTTTGAATATGCCATTTTATTTACAATTTCAAGACACCTTGATCTTTCTGAAGATGTTATGCCAAGCTTCTCACAAGTTATTTCTCTWTTCATAGATCGCAAGGTATGGTACAAACAGATATTGAGGGATGCTCCTGAGAAATACTTGCTAAATGCATCCCTTTCAGTGAAGTCTTTGTCTGACATTATAACTTTTGTTCTTGGCCAAGAAAGGTTAAACTTTTGGAATGCTGCCACAGAAGCTTCAATGATTTGTTTTGTTTCCTCTGCCAAAACAAACATAGCCACAATTTCACTTAGACCATCACCATCAACAACCAATAGAAGGTATAAGGGCATCCTCAATTCTAGAAGTTTGTATGTGGCATCAACCATTAAAAGTTCAGGAAATTTGTTATACATTTCACGCATGTATTGATCTTGGTAGAATAAACCCTGAAAGTTTTGTTCATCATCAACAAGCACTTCCGTCATTGTACCCTCTTGTTCCTTAAGAAAATTAATGACATGCTCTATGTCGTTTCTATTAGTTCCTTTTTTGATTTTTTGTTGCATATTTGATATGTCTTTGAGGGTAATGTTTAGTCCTGCTTTTTGGATTTTTTGCTGTAAAAGCTTTTTGTTGGCTTTTAGTTTGATGCTATCTTCTAATTGGCTTTTCAGTTGTTGAGGCACTCTTCTTTGTCTAGGAAGATGTTCATAAAGTGTTTTTGATAGTATATGGTTATGTTGTTCATTAATCCGTGATACCTGTAATGCTTGGCCATCTTCTGTTAATTTCACATAAATTTCGAAAGGACAATTTTGTCGAAAGGACTTAGTATTTCTTTGGCGGTCTTTTAATTGCTGGGGTTTCCCGCTGAACTTACAAGACAAGAGCAAGGAATAATACTTGAGAGATGTTTTGGCACAAGCAACTCTTTTTGGTACTGTCTTCGCAGCGGTGTTAAGCGTTCTGCTTTTTTTGTTTATAATTTCACAAAAGTACTTCTTTTCATAGCTGCCTTTTGCTTTTTGCAGGTCATCTAAGTTGTTAAACATCTGGCCAACGAAGAATATGGGTTTGCCATCCTCAACAGTATCTTCTATCTTTTTAACTCTACAATTAGAGTCATCAATAACCACTTTGCGTTCATGCTGTCTGTCTTCACGGGTGTCATCTGACTCGTCAATATCACTAGTTTCACTGTTGACTACTTTGGGTTCATGCTGTCTTTCTTCATGGGTGTCATCTGACTCGTCAATATCACTAGTTTCACTGTTGACTACTGTTGGTTTGTGTACTTGAGGGGTGTCATCTCTCTTGTCACCATTATTTCCTCTGTTGACCACTTTTGGATCATGCATTGTTTTTTTGAAGGTATCTTTCTTATCAATGTCACTACTCCTACCAATGACTACTTTTGAATCCTGTTGGCTGTCATCATGTATATGTCCTCTTTCAATATCTACAACTTGTGAATCATCATGTATGTCTTCATTAATGTCTATATTCTCTTCTCGGTCTCTATTCTTCCCATCCCTGTCTATCCCTTGTGTTGTTTTCTTGTGTTGCACTTTACACTGTTTGTAGGTCTTTGGCAGTCCATTACAAGTAGCTCTGTCACTCACTTTCTGTTTTTTCACCTCTWGTTTTTCTTTTGCTAAATGCGTGGTTACTCTTTTTTGCCTCTTGTAGCCTTGTTGGCTGCTCTTGGTAGCACAATGACTTTTAGGCTTAGTGCTTACTTTATTGCCATTCCCTCTTTTCTTTTTCCTGACTGTCTGCCATTGATACATGTCTTCTTGGCCTTGGGAAAGTGCACTTCCAGCTTGTTCAATATCATCATCATCATCATCTGGAATTACTAAAATGTYAGCATTTTTTCTTGTATTTATGGAATGTTCAGTTTTGGGTGTAGCAGCTGCTACATGTACTCCTTCATCAATGCCCATGATAGACAAATCAATAGAATCTTTGAGAAGCCATGATATTACAGTATGACGCAAAAAATCAGAATGCCTAGATGGAGAAGTTAACCASTGTAAACTTAATGGAAGAGAGCAGTTCCTGTTTAACACATTTTGCCATAAACTTGGAGCGTTTGAAGCGATTCCTCCCATAATAGCAACTGCAACACCACAAACACTGTTGCATGTTTGGAGAGGTACATTTGCTAGGCAATTCTTCGAGCACTTGAACTGAGATTGGGTGCTGTGGACATGAGCCAGCGTGATTCCTGCAAAGGACTTGGATGCAATTGTAGTTTTCCCATAAACTGCTTGTACAACTGGAGATAAGATTTGCCTCAATGTGGAAGGCACGTCCCATGCAGCAGGATCACAGTAGAACCACTTGTTTGCTGATAGATCAATGTAAATCATGACCCAGTGACTGCCTTTTTGGTATGGACTGCTGAAAAATACATCACCTCTTATGCTTTTACCGACATGGGCAAAGAAAATGAGATTTCTCATTTCAGAGCTGATATTGTTACTTATATACTCATCCAGTTGTTTGCCTTTCATCATGATTATGTTATTAAGCATGAGTGCAGCCGTTGTGTTGTTTTGTCTGTGTATAATCTCTGCTATACCTGTCAAAATACTAAAGTGAAGCCATCCATTCCCAGCCAAAGTTGCCATATCAGATGCTAGTATGTAGCGATTATTATCAAGAACAATATGGCCATCAGGTGAATCAAAGATTTTTTTTTTGTAAACTTCCATGAGCTCTTTTGAATAAGAACATTTTGAATTGGGAATGTGAATTTTCTTGGCAAGCCATTGYTGCTCTTCTTTGACTGCAATCTTGATGTCATGCAAGTTGTGTACTTGGATYAAYTGTGCAAGTGAATGACCTGTGAAAGTTCCTGATGTGCAAGAAACAGCTGGGAAATTCCCTTTTTTGCAACACCCTGCCATTTGATTACATGCTGATCTAGAGGGCATTTTCTTTAATGTAGTTATATCCGTCAAAGCAGTTGGCTGCTTTCTTAGTAAACGGCATTGAGTGCTGTACAACAATGGTGGATAATCTATGCGTGCTGCTTCTAAGCGAGTCACTGTTTCAAATGCATTGCTCTTGATTATTTCCTATGGAAGAAAAACTAGGATGCAATTTCTTATAAATAGAAATACATGTTTTTTTATTATTGAGACAACAACAATCTGTACTTGCTGCACATTATGTGTTGTTAATAGAACAATGAGTTCCTAGTACTCCTACTGTCCCAGTTTCCTCAGAACAACACAGTACACAGTATGCCTAAACATAGCAAAGGTCTKTGATGTGATATTARAACTGAGACCTTTGGCAGTATTGGGTTGTSACAAAGTGATGATGAATTAAACATCAGTTCTATATATCTGATATAGAACTGATCAATTCAACATCAGCATTTTATCAGGATTTAAATAGGTTATAACATGATTGTGACTGAGTGCTCATGAATTATTAATGAGTTGTAGAAGTGCCTGCTGATAATCAGAAATTGCAAGGATCAACATAAGATTTAATTAAATAATTGATTATTAGTCCAAGGAGACTTRGGTCAGACATTTAATTGACCTTTTAAATCCCAAAAAGTGCTAATGTTTAATAAACAAATTTTGGATCTGACATAATTATTAGAACTGATGTTTTATCACAACCCATTACTGACGTCAAAGGTCTTAGTTTTGGTATCACATCATAGTCGATGTGTGCTGTGATTTGTTTGTATCAGTTGGTCATCATGTACTTTTATTAGCAAATAGTAATTGTTCTTCTATGCGGGATTGAAACGCTTTTCCAAGAATCTTTTACAAGATATCCAGGTATATCTAARTTAATTTATACAAGTGCTGACATATATTCTGGTATTAGTTCTGATTTGATTTGCACTTGGAACAGATCGACTTATTGAAATGAATTAATAACATTACAGATTTAACTATATGATAACATGAGATTTAAATCCAAATAATACCTTTAAGGATGTATCCATAATGCAACAGATGAAACTTCAATAATGATCTACAATGACATTACATTTAGGAAATAAGAATAAGATGGGGATGAAGTAATGCCAGAGACCAGTTGTGAATTATGAATAAATTTATGCAGTGAATTTAGACCATATCACATTAAATTATATACATGTAAGTACCTAATAATTGAATAAGTCAGTGTGGAGCTTGGATATATCATAGAATTCACCACACGCAAAAAGCAAGTTGTGTTTGATTATATATAATGCTGATTGTGTATAAATTTCTTGAAATGAGAAAATTCCTTGTGTTCATACAGTAGCATCTAGAGTTAATCTTCATATATTCCTACCTTAGATGACTTGTTGATTAAGGTTAAATATCACTGAAACTGCAAGCAACTTTTAATCCCTGAAACAATCTAGAACAATATTCTGAAAAGCTCTAATCGCCTCTAGAATACACGGTCGAAATTCCCGCTAGAAACGTACAACTTCCCGCCAAATAAGTGATGTAAAGTATTACGTAAATGTCACGCAACGTACCTAGCAGAGTGACAAGTGACAGGATAACATGGCTTTCTAAATCGTGATAAATAAGTTACAGTAAGCTTAAGTGTCCGTAAGAAATATTTCACGGCTATAAAGAACGTCTTGAATCTTGTATCATTGCTTTTGTAAAAGAAATCGATTGACGGACACATAGTTTTTCTCAAAAGTCTGTCCGTCAAAAGTGTTAGTGATGGAGATTCGCTCGAAGCGTGTCGCGATTGCTAGTATGCGGAGCTTCTGCAAAGSTGTGAATTTTTGTCAGAACAGGCTCAACTGAGAGGTTTCAACATTCTAAAGAAAGTTTTAACGCTTGTAGTCGACTGGACCCGGTCTCTAAGTAAGTATTTCTTTGAAAAATGGATTGACGGACACGTAGTGTTTCTCGAAATTTTGTCCGTCAATTGTTTTAATTCT